AGAGATAAACAGAATAAACAACCTGGAAACCAGCACAGACCAATTATGGCTTCTGCTTTGGCAGTGGGGCAGAAGGACAGAGACTTTCTACAATCTCAGGATCATCAATAGCACAGATTCTGACAGCAGTAGACATTTTCTACACAGACAGAATCACTAAGATGGAAGAGACCTTTATGATCATCGAGTCCAAGCCATGACCTATCACCACCACAACTAGACCACAGCACTGAGTGCCACATCCAGTCTTGTTTTAAACACATCCAGGGATGGTGACTCCACCACCTCCCCAGGCAGACAAATCCAGTACTTTACCCCTCTTTCCGTAAAAAACTTTTCCCAAACATCCAAATTTAAGACTGTGCCCTCCAGTTCTGTCAGGAACAAAAGACTGACCCCCACCTGACTACAACCCACCTTTCAGGTGGGCTCAGAAATATACTCTATTTCAAAACAACCCCCAGGTGGGCCGGGGAAGTTCCCAGCAAAGTTTGGTGGAGAAGGGAAGATGCTGGAGGAGCAGGAAGGCTCCAGGCCAGCCCCACACTCACAGGAATTGTGCCTCCGACGGAAGCCTTTGGACTGGCTCAGCGTCTCCATGTGTCGGTCCATGTAGCTCTTGGAGCACTGCTGCTGTGGGGAGATGACAATGTCCTGGCTCTTCATGTCTGTCCTCCTGGGGATGTTCTGGGGGGCACTGCTGGACATGGGCTTCTTCAGCACCTTGCCAGTGCCGTTCTGGCTGGGTCCCACCTGGCAGCCCACCCCTGGCACGGCCGTGTCCATCTGCTGCGAGTCCCCGCATTGCCTGCTGTCCCCCGGCCCCGGGATCTCCAGGATCTTCAGCTCGGTGATGTCACCTGCCCTAAAAACAGCACCAGAAAATCAGGAATTGAGAAAAAACCTCCTGAGGAAAAACATCCCGATGCCATCATCGATTAAAACAAGGGAATAAACGGATTTTAATGCTCAGACATACACAGACATCAAAATGTTCACATTAAATGGCAAATCTACAAAACAGCCACTTCAGGATGCATTGCACCTGGATTTTGTTTGAAAGCGTCTGCAGTTAAAGAGGAATCAGTCAAGCAAGAAATGGAAGCAACTGGCCCAGACCTTTGCGGAAATTTGCATTAATTTAACAGTTCCTAGCTAATTAATTGCTCTCAGCCTGGAGGCTACTATTACTTTTAATCCATTTCTGCAGAAAGCCACCTTCGGATCAGTGCAGTTCCTGCTCAGACAAGGAGGACACTTCCCATTTCCAAAGAAAAAATGTCTAAAAAAACCTAATCCAGCACTGGGCACGAGCCAGAAGACAACAAAGGAGTGATTATAAAGCTCTGCATTTGCACTGAGTGCAGGCCATAAGTCAGGAATTGGGCTCTTCCAGCTTTAACTCAGCGTTTGTCCACGCGGAAAGCAGAGACTTGCACACATCCCCTGCTCCCTTCCCCCAGCCTCTCTCCTCAAAATCCAAGGGAAAATAAAAAATGAAGAGTATTGACATGGTGGAGTCGCTGTTATGAAAAATGAGAGATCAGAGCCTTCACTGCAACATTTCAGGGACAGAAAATGTGCAGTGAGGAGTGACTCCTGTTTGTATTTGTTAAGAACTGGGGGGAAAGAACTGCTGTGGGCAAAGCTTCTAAAGCACCTCAGCTCTCTCTGCTACAACTGAACAGGATTCAAATAAAAACCCTGAAAATATTAAAATAGATCAATAAAACTTCTAAATAAAAGCAATATACGTGTGTTATATATTTTATATTAAAAATAGATAGTATATATATTGATATTT